ATTTAAAAGTATCACTATGAAGGAGTTCATAGGCTTCACCATAACATAAAAAGATTAAAAATACATGCTGTAGATATAAACCTAATTCTCAAGGCTACACAGAAATGTTAGTTTGCAAACATGTTGTTGTTCAGTCTCCTCTGACTTTTCATGACCCATAGACCATAGCACACCAGGCCCAAATCCTCCACTGTCTCTCAAAGTCTGTACAAGTTCATGTTGTTTCCATGACACTATCTATCCATCTCACCCTCTGCCACCCCTTTTTCCTTTTGCTTTCAATCTTTCCCAACATCAGAGTCTTTTCCAATTAGTCCTATGTACTCATTATGTGGCCAAAGTGTTTAAGCTTCAGCTTCAATACTTGACCTTCCAGTGAATAGTCTGAATTAATTTCTTTAAGTACTGACTGATTTGATCTACTTGCTGTCCAAGGGACTCTCAAAAGTCTTCTCCAGAACTAACAATTCAAAAGTGTCAATTCTGCAATGCTCAGCTTTCCTTATGGTCCAATTCTCACAACCATACATTGCTACTGGAAAAACCATAGCTTTGGCTCTAAAGACCTTTGTCAGCAAGGTGATGTCTTTGGGATGAGAATCAGTTCCTCTGACTCAAAAGCCAATATGCCTTACACTACATCACAGAGCCTTTCTGGTCTTCTCTACCTCCCCTCCAATGCTGCTATGAATGCATACAATAGACAATCTATCATTGGGATCTAAAACACTGAGTAGATTCTTCCTGTCTGGGAGTATATACACACTCACAGCTAAATAGATGCCTTCCCAAATGTTTCCCTCTTTGGAGCAAAGACTCCACTCAAGTCCATGTGTTTTATATTTACTTTGCATATATTTAATAATAGCTACCATTTATATAGCATTTTAAGCCTTGCAAAGAGCTTTATGTATTTTATTTCATTTGATCTTCACAACCCTAAGAGGAAGATACTTTTATTATTATCCCCATTTTGCAGAGGAAGAAACTGAGGTCAAGAGGTTAAGTGACTTGCCAATGATCACACAGCTAGTAAGTGTCTGAAGTGGGATTCAAACTCAGATCATCCTGACTCCAAATCCAGGATTCTAGGTACTAAGCCACCTACCTGCCTACCAATGTACCTATTTATGCATACGCTTGTATGTGTGTGTATGTGTGTGTGTGTGCGTGCGTGCGTGCGCACGCGTGTGTAATTTTCCCCCAAAAAATGTAAATTCCTTGAGGGCAGAGACTAGCTTATTTTTGTCTTTGCATCACCACAGCCTAGTAAGGTGTCTGGAACATAGTAGGTGCTTAATAAATATTTGTCAGGGGCATCTAGGTGGTGCAGTGGATAGAGCACTGGCCCTGAAGTCAGGAGGACCTGAGATCAAATATGGCCTCAGACCAAACACTTGACACTTACTAGCTGTGTGACCCTGGGCAAGTCACTTAACCCCAATTGCCTTAAAAAAAAAAAGCTTGTCAATTTATTAATTGATTGACTGTTGACTCCATTCTACAGAGAGAGACTAAAAATCTTTCTTGATAATAATAACAGCTAATTGGCATTTTAATAGGCTTTCCCAAAAGTCTTAGTACTATTTCAAGCTTAAAAGTTTTGGGATAACCCCCACAGTGCTTAAAAATTTACAAAGCATTTCACATGTTATCACATTTGATCTGAGATTCTACTTCCCAGTGTAGCACTTCAAAGTTTCACTCTCATATCCCAAACCAATTGGATAAGCATTCAGTGAACTCTTCCTTCCCGGATAGCAGTAATTCCTTCTTCCATTCCAGCTACTACAAGTGCTCAGAGCTAATTTTAAAGATGACAAAAAGACAAATGTTAAGTCTGGATAGCAATTTGCCCACACAGAAGCTGCTTCTTAAACCTAGACAAAAAACTTCACCTCTCCCTCCAACCCTAACTGTAATACAGTGAATACCCTCTCCATTCATCAGACCAATGTTCCTATTGAGTACTATTTACTGAGCTGCTTTAATAAAATTAGAGTATTAAAATAGATTATGGGGTATGATAAGCCATAACAGCACTCACTATTTGCCATTTCATCTCAGTAGATTGCTTGTCACTGATGAATTCTCAAAAGTGAAAAGGATTGTTCATAGAGCTTCACCCTCCCCACAATGACTTCAGGAGGCTAAGAAGTGATGGCAACTTCTGGTGATGCCTGTTTCTCTCCTTTCTGACTTCTTTAGCTTCATAGAAAAAGACTGGGGCCTGAAATTGTTCCTAGTATTCAAGAGGGACAACTCTGAAGTAGTGAAGGAGTTTAAGTCAAATTTTATAACTTTTCTTTTGGAAAATGAGATTTTGAAGAAAGCTTTCTCTGAGATGATTTACTAAGGAGAATGGGTTTGAAGAGACATTCTTCTTCTACCCTCAGATAAGTTATGAGTTTTCATCTGATCTTGAAGCAACCTCTTGACCTAGCCTCATTATTTTTCAAAAGAACAGAACAGTGAGTGAAATTTTGATATAATCTCCCTTCTATAGAAATGTTGGCCCTCAGTCCTGACTTTAATTCTTCAACCAAGAAGTCACGAGAGTAATAATGAATTGACAAGCCTGTATTGGCAAGGTCCAAGCCTGAACAGTGTCCTGGATTTAATTCAGGACATAGGTGTTCCCTCCCATCGCCCTGGAACAATGTAAAAGCAAAGGTTACCTTCCCTACATCAGATCTCACTGAACTGCAGAGGACATCCCCTACCAATCAATCAACAAACATCTATTAAGTATCAGGCACCTCATTCTGCCTCAGGATATTAGTAAAACACTAGGAGTTTTCAGTAATGTTGTCAGATGGCTTCAACGAGGGCCAAACCAGCATCAAGGTCAGCTACTGCACTGATGGTAAATTATTTTAACTTGAAAAGACTACAAGCCAATACCAAAGTAGAGGGAGAGTCAGTGCCTGATGGTTTGTTTGCAAATGATTATGCATTCAATGCAGAAAAATGATGAAAGAGACAAATGCAGAGGATCCTTGGTAGTATGAACAAATACAGAATAAAATGAGCAAAAAGAAAGAAAACAATTTAAACAAGGACAACATAGTAAAGGGGAAAAAATCTTTGAAAGACTCAAGAACATTATCAGTGCAATGACCAACCATTTCCAGAGGACCTATGATGAAATATTTTACCCACCTCCTGACACAGATGATGGACTGATGGTGTGAAAGAGACATACATTTTTTGCACATGGTCACTGTGCGAATTTGTTTTGCTTGACAACACTTTTTTTCATTATGAGAGGTATTATTTTTCTCAGTTTTTAAAAGGGGGAGAAAGGATTAGTGACACTGATGTCCAAAAAAGAGGGCCATTGAAACATTTTTAAATGCACAAAAGGAAAACAGAATGAAGTTCAGAAGGAAGCACAGATAAGGAAGACAGTTTTAAAAAATAATGTGTGTAATTTCTAATATACTTCTTTTTTAAAGCAATATGAAATGGAGATTCATGGTATCACAGACAATCCTTTTTGTGTATATATGGAAATGCTTCTGGGGCAAGGGGCAAGGTGTATAAGTTCAAAATAAAAAAACAAATGTCCCCAGGCTGCTGGATTGAATCCACGCACTGTCATCATTCTGAAGGGAGCTAACAGTGTCTTCCCCTTCTATTATGTACAATCACTTCTTCTCCACTCTACCCCCAAGCAGATGAGCATCTCTCCTTTCCTCAGAGAACACCACACTTATACTATACTATTTACCCCAGGACGCCTAGCAGTTCATTGCCATGTATGACAGTCCTTGACATCAGTTACTCTGTGACCAAAAGCCTGCAATGGGCTGGGTGGAGCAAACCCCCTCAGTGCTCCAGTTTCCCCTTTTGTGAAATAATATGTTCTCTTCTTTTGTGAGGTAATTGGGGTTAAGTGACTTGCCCAGAGTTACACAGCTAGTGAGTGTTATGTGTCTGAGGCCAGATTTTAATTCAGGTCCTCCTGACTCCAGGGCCAGTGCTCTATCCACTGCACCATCTAGTTGCTCCCAAAATAATCTGTTTTCAATCATAGAATGGTGGGGAGAATTCCCCTCAGCCCCAAACTGTGGGTACTAAATCAACATAAATTAAGAAAAGAAGCAGCATGGTAGTAATACAAAGCACCCTAGACTAGCAGGGCAAGTCTAAGGCAGCTAGGTAGTACAATGGATAGAAAATCAGAACTAGTCAGGAAGACCTGAATTCAAATCTAGCCTCAGACACCACTGTGTGACCTCAGGCAAGTCACTTAACCGCTGCCTCAGTTTCCTCATCTGTAAAATGGAGATAATAATAGCACCTATCTCCCAGAGTGGTTGTGATGATTAAATGAGATAATAATGGTAAAGTACATGTTACATAGTAAGTGCTATATAAATGTTAGCTATTATTGTTATTAAGTATTAGTGAATAGAACTGGGTTTTATCATTTCTCTCTGTCTGTAACTAGTGTAACCATGAGTAAGTTCATTTTCTTATGAAGGGCTTAGCATAAGATATCTCTCCAAGGTGCTTTTCAGCTCTAAAAGTCCGTGAATTTCTAGTGTGGATCCCACAGCATTTTTGGGAGGCAGATTTTTGTTTAATGGCACAAACTTTTCCCCATGGGCAGGCTGACAGATTTGAGGATTACTGCCTCCCCTGGTTCTTAGTTCCCCATCTATCCCCAGTATTTCATCTCCATTTCAGCTAGAAGGGAGAAGAGGATGTGAGGGATAGTGTGTATTATAATACTTTCAATGGAGCAAAGGCATGATTTGTGGAAACTGACTCATATTTTAAAGGACCCCTCCCCAAGGTTACGATCTATCCCCCACTACACACACAAACCTCCTTGCTTCCATCAATGGATGTAAGTGTAGGTTAGTGGTGGCTGGAGAAAGCCCTAAGGTGCTTGTGTCTCTAGCTTAAAAATGTTCCACCCACCCACCAATCGTCCAAGATGCCTGTAGAATTTCCCATCCCCACCACAATCCCTAGAGTAAGACACTCACTGAGAAGCTGTCTGTCTGAGTCCGAGACTGTCACATTCTCCTGCCAGAAGGGGTTCATCAGGGGTGTGCACTTGCTTTGGACTATTGATGGAGGGAAGGTAGAAAGAACGTAAGTAACATGAGAGGTCAAATCTTTCAGTAGTAAGTGCATTTGCAAACTGGGAGTTTCAACCCACAAATTAAGGCACTGCGGGGGGATGGGGGGAGGAATTCCCAATTGCACCTATTTACATACACATACACACACACACACATGCTCTTCAGCAAAAAGTTCCCTTAAATCAGAAGACATCTTCCCCATCAACAGCCCCCAATGCTTTCCCTCCCCTAAACTACTCTCATCCTCCAACTCCCCTTAGGAGTTCTGAGTTTGGCTTACTGAGAGATCCCTGAGCTAACAGCTCTAGCACCTTTTAGCCCCAAGATTAGAGACCTGGGGAAAACCTGAGTGTCTGGCTGGAGGACTGAGCAGAATAGAGACAAGGAGATGGAGATGGAGGTAGATCCCCGGCAGGGAAAAAAATGAGAAAGGTATAGGAGATGGCAGGACATCGCTGAAAAGCTTAACCTGGGACAGGGCCCAGTTGCACTGGATCAGGGAAGCAGAGAGGGAGGAGGATGCCAGGGACAGGCAGGAGAGATGGGGAGCTTTGGAGAGCTGTCTCAGGAGGAGAGGCAAAGTAAGAGCGGAGCAGAGACCCCGCTGTGTACGGATTTCCCAAACTTGTTACACACACACACACACACACACACACAGAGGCTCCTTACCCCGGCAGGTCCTCCAGAGCCCAGAGTGCGAGCTGAGCGGCTCCAGTTGGCTCTGGTTGAAGCCTCCTCCGGCATTGCCACCACCAGAATCTCGGGCCCCGCCTACCCCCGGGCCCCCCGGGACCCCCGGGCCGCGCTGTTCCAACCTGGCAGTGTCGATGATGTACCAAAAGTCTGTGCCGATGGCAGCTGCTAGGAGAACAAAACTGAGCGCCCCCGACAGCGCCGCAGCCCCGGCTAGGGCACCCAGGCGCACCCGCATCTCGCACCGAACTCCAGTCCACTTTCTGGCTCGCTGGCCAGACAGTACTAGAAAGCTGAAAAGGTAGCAGTAGGAATCCGAGCGGGAGCAGAACCACGCTCACCCTCAGGAACCTCAACTCAGTGTGAAATAGTCCCTACACTCTTCCAGGTGTCTGTGCTCCCCACACTCACTGTCTCCTTCCTCCACCTTCTCGCTCTTAGCCCCTCCCCACCCTCCACACCCCGTTCCCCGCCCCTTCTCTTGAGCTCTCTCACTTTCCTTACTTCTCTCCTTGGTGCTGGATAAAGCTCCTATCTGCTCTATCCCATCCACCCTACCGGTTCTCTCTCCAGGCCGCCTGCCTCCTCCCCCCTTTCCTTCGTTTCAGCCTCGGGCCAGCCAGACCAAGGTAGGAGTACCTGCTGAGGGTGGGATCTTCCCTCAGCCTAGAACGAGCCTGGGATTGCTTTTGGAGTGGGCGAAAAGCACGCGCAAAGCACAAACCAAAGGCTCTGGGTTTTCCCAGTTTAGAAAAAATCAAGAGAAGCAAAATGAAAGGACTAGATCTCCCTCACCCCTTGCTTCCACAAGCAGAAACATGTCTCTGCATAAAATCAAAGTGATGGGAGGGACCTCAGAGGTCATCTGGTCCAAACCACAATTCACTCTACAAAGTCCTCAGCTTCAATTTCACCTCCTGGCGGAGAGAACCTTCAAATGTGGCAACAGAAGACCAAAATGCCCCAAGCTAGAAGCCAACTCAGCATCGTAACAAGGAAAAGGTGTTGTTTTTTTTTTCCCGTTTCCCCCCAATAATCTGAATTGCAAAGAACTTCCTTCTCATCCCCATTTTCTCCAACTTCTGAAAATCCTAATAGGGTCTATGTCTAAAACAACATAGTTAAAATTCAGAATTGGGAACACTGCCCTCCTTGCCTAAGAATCAAAGAATTTCAGAACAAGAAGAGATCTTACAGGTCATTTAGTCGAACTTGCCTCCTTTTCCTGACAATGAAACTGAAGAACAGAGAAATAAGAGGTCTCACACAAAGTCTCAGTTAATGACAATCTTAATTAGAACTCAGAAAAACAGCATGTCAATGTGAATATGGAGGTGGCCTCTGGCATCAAAAAGATCTATGTTCAAATTCTGTCACTGACATACTGTGACACACATTTGAGTCTTGGCAAAACACTTAAAATCTCTAACAGCCCTGTTCTGTATCTTGGTAAGACTAAGTTGCCAGACAGGTGTCAATGTGTATTGGTTAATAGAATTTCCTCACCTAGAGTTCCATATACCAATAAAATCATAGCTCCCAACCCCACATCCCCCCCAAAAAAAATCTAGTCTTCTTAACACCATGCTTTACCTCCAGTCTTTTAGGGACACAAGTGTAGGTGGATAAAACTCAACTGTTACAAAGGATCATTAAACATGCTAAGGTATTTACATAGTATATGTCAAGAGTTTCATGAACTGCAAGGGTATTTTTCTCAGGGATACATCATGACCTCATTGTGTTCCTTTGCTTTTAAAAAAAAAGCACAGGACTAATGTGGTGTATGTGTTTGTGTGTGTGTGTGTGTGTGTGTTTAATGAATTCAAGGGGTCTTTTTAAAGAAAATGTCAGACTTCTCTCAACAACTTCACTATTTAATCACTCAAAGAGGCACTTAAACCCCAGAAACTTCACTCATAATCATCACAACAACGTGGGTCTGAGTGGTGATCACTGAATGCCACTGTGTTACCTCCAACTTCCACCCTCTTTCATATAGAAGACAAAATTAATTTTCTCAGGTCTGATGACAAACTAGCCCTATACAATGAAGACCAAAAAATCATGGAAAATTAGAGCTAGAATGGAATCTATTTTATAGATTACCCAGAGTGGATGAGTGACCTGAGAATTACTCAGAGAATTAATAACAGAGCTAGGAAGAAGATAGGAATGTTGTAGTGGATAAAAAACAAGGCTTAAAGTCCAAAGACTGTTTTAGTGGAAATGTAATGTTACGTGAGTTAACAGTGTGATATGGAAGTCGAAAAAATGATAATTCCCTCCTGGGTTGTATTTAGGGTCCAAAACAAGGAAGGTGATGGTGTTACTGCACTCCATCCTGGTCAGAACCCATGTGGAGTATTATGTTCAGTTCTGGGCCCCATATTTTAGGAAGGATATTACAGATAAGCTGGAGAGTGTCTAGAGGCAGGCAACCAGGATGGTGGTCAAGCCATATGAAGATTAGCTTAAGGAACTAGCAATGTTTAAACAGAAAAAGAGAAAACCTGGGTGAAGACATGACAACTGTGTTCTAATATCTGAAGGGCTGCCACATGAAAGAAGGATTAGCCTTGCTTTGCTTGGTCCCAGAGGAAAAAAAGTAGGAATGATGGGTAGAGGTTTCAGAGAGGCAGCTTTGGGTTCAATGTAAGAAACTGCTTTCCAAAAAGGAGAACCTCTCAAAAAGAAAACAGATTGCTTCAGGAAGTAGTTGACTCCCGCTCAAGGTTGGTCTTCAAGCAAAAGCTAAATGATCACTTTTTCAATATGAAATAGAGCAGATTCCTGTCTATGTATGAAGTGGACTAGAGGAGGATCTCCCCTGGGTCACACACACATACACACACACACACACACACACACACACACGTACACACATATACATATTGTCAACCCAACCCAATCAGCCTCTAACCTATGAATGGCTAGAGCCAAACAGAACAAACTAGAGGCAGGTGAGTCAGCAATCAAACAGACAGGGTTGTTCTGAACAATATTTCAATACTCTAAAAGTTTCATGATGTCATAGGTGAGGGTACTCCCTCCCCCACTGTAGATTGCTACCCTTCTATGCTTTGGTAGCTGGTTTCATAAATTGCTATGGCCAAAAAAAGTCTCATGATAGCTGACCTTCTGGTGATAAGCTTCTCAGAATTTAGGTAGGTAGAAACAACCTTCTGGTGATGCACTTCTCATAATTTAGCTAGGTTAAACTTGGACATAGTTCATCACTGACCCATCTTCAAAATCTCTGCAGCTAGTAGGACTTGGCAAAGTATGTGTTCCTTTGGTGTATATAGCGTTTGAGGGTCATGCTCCATATGTAGTATTACTCAACTCTGGTGATCCCACACTTCTCCCATTCCCCCCTCTAAACCTTCACTTGGTACAGGCTTCTCACCAGGGTGATTTCATGCTCACCAACCCAAGAAAAGTGTCTCAGGGCTCTCCTGCTTTCCTACCTTCCCTTCCACCAAAAATCAGAATCCTCAGCTGATGGGAAAATGTTTCAGGTATCTTCATGCATGTTCCTCCAGCCCCATGGCATAGGTTGGTAGGCTTCACTCTCCTCATCCCCTCTCCCTCAACTTGCTCCCCATTCTGTCATCTCAGTTCCCAAAGTCATTCAGGATGGTGATGGATATGGGGTCCAAAGATGAGATTCCCAAAAGGGATGTGAAGACTAAGTAATTCTACCAGAATTGTGACTTTTAGGATGTCCTTGGCAGAGGCATAAGCTCTGTGGTTCTGTGCTGTGTTCACTATCACTGACCAGGAGTTTGAAATGAAGATCATGCAGGTGATTGCTAAAAGACTAAGACCTAAGCTGCTGAAAGAGAAACAGAAACCAACTAACAGAATGTGACCCACATTTTGTACCAAGGAAATGTTTACCCTTATGTTGGTAAGGTTTCACTAATTTCTCTAATAAAAAAAAAAAAGAAAAAAGTAAATGCTTAATCTGCACCAAGCACTGTGCTAAGGACTGGAGATACAAATTGAAAATCAAGACAGTCCCTGTTCTCAAGGAACTTACACTCTAATTCAGGGAGACAATACATATAAGAGGGCTTGTGAGGGACTGTCTGATGTTGGCAGCTACCAGGTTGGGCGCTGTGGCAAGAGTAGGGTAGAATCTGGGTATTTTGGAAGTCGAGGCAGGGGCTGTGGTAGGCAGAGTCGTGGTGAACTGGGATGGGCTGGATATGGAGAAGCCCTGAGGCAGTGGGCAGTGCTTGTGAGATAAGCTGGGTGCAAGGAAGTAGCCGGAGCTTGAGCTCCTGAGTGAAGGGACGGTGCCACGTGGGAGTGGGGCGGCAGAGGACTGAGTTCCCTTTGCTTAGTCCCCTCCCTATATGCAACGTCATCCCCAGACGCCTCTTGTGACCTTCCTGACTTCCTGGGTCCCTTTGTGAAGCACTGACCCCAGACCCCTCCTGAGTCTGACTTCCTAGGTCACGTACTCTTGTCTATGCGCCAATCCCAGATGCCTCCTCCCTGTATCCAGTCCTAGCCTCCTACGTCACACCCTCCCCCTTGGTGTGCTAAACTCAGACAGCCCCTTCCGGTATCTGACCCTACAATCATTGGCTAGTAAGCGGGCTGGGGAGGAGGGGCTAGGTAGGTATTTAGGAACGAGCGTGGTCAGATCACGCAGGCGCTCTCTCCTGGCTCCTGCCCTGTTGCTCTGGCCTTGCTGCTTGGGCTTGCTATGATGGCTTGCTGTGATGGCCTCTGAACAAAGCTCTGGTGTTGGCACCTCCCGATGGCTCGTCTCTGTGTGGTTATCCGGCAGAGTACCGAAGACTCGAGTGTGAGTATGACTCTGGTAGTGTGCTCCTTATAGGAGGAGCAGGTACCGGCGTGTGGCCAGTATAAGGGTTCAGCAACTGGATGGATGGAAAGACCCAATGATGCTGAGGGTACAGTGGCAGGGAAGATGGTAAGACCTGGTGGTCCTCCATCTTAACAGAGGGATTGTATTTGATGACTCCCTGCTCATCCAAATGCTGTGAACAACCATGCCCAGGGGCCTTCAATGGCCCCAACCTACCATTGCTGGTGGGTTCTGGGAAGTGGGCCTGAGAGTCTGAGAAGAAGGTGGCAAGTATGGGTGGCTGGGGCAAAGAAGAGGAGGAAGGTCTCTCAACCCCTTCTCCATTGGCACCTGTTCCCATTAGCACCCAGGCCCACCCACCTTTGTCCACCCCCAGGTAGGTTTACTCTTCC